AAGGCACTGTAAGATCAACCATCTGGCACGAAGAGGCACCTTAAACATCTACGAGGGAGCAGTCAGATATCGAAATCAGCGTTCGAGACTGAACGACCATCCCCCTGCACTTCACGGTAAGCGACCTTAACCCCAATTAACACTAAAAGACGACCTCCTCAACTATCTTCGGACATCGACTACACAGACAATATGTTTGAACAAAACCCATTGAACATTGAGACATTCTTTTACATTTCACATCAACAAGCATGTTAATGTCAATACATTAACTATGGAAATGAGATTAAGTAACCGATACTCATATGATAACGTTATATTTGCCCGGTACCCAGACTGCCCTTCACCGTGTCAATGAACCGTGTCAAAGGCCTCATTGTTACCGCCAGCGCCAGGAGTTGTGCCCTAAATATCAAATGTGGCGCTCTTGGAGTACTGCTGTCACATCAGACATGGCAACGGGAGGTCATTCAAAATGGTAATCGAGAAAGTGAAGCGTGCTGTTTTCAAACAGTTGATCAATAATTAAACCCTGCGATTAGTTTAACCGAGCGGGCATGACTGATGAACAGCGCCTACATGTTTTGTTCTTTTATTCAATATCCTGATGGAATAGTTCTATTTGAATGGTTGGGAACAATGTTATATTATATACTATATCACCTGTTTGCAAATCGATTCCATCAGTGTGTCATTTCCCTTGATTCGCCTACACGGACACAAAAGAAAAAAGAGCGAGGCGGCCTTTATAACGAGAAAGTATAACTAAATTTACCTATATTTTCTTCGGGTTAGGTAAGGGTTTTGTCACTTTAATTAATAAAGGCGATATTCAGGAACAACTAAACATGACTGGTTTCAATAGTTTAAGACCATACCAGCACGTCATAACACGGTACTAACGTTTTAAAACAAATAAAATCAGAGCTTCCAACCCCAAGTTAGACAAGCGCTTGAGATGCCTGGTACAAGGGCCGCAGTTCCGGGGTGGAACCTATGTAAGGCCTTCAGGGGTATAACTGTAAATTCCCTTCTCAGAAAAGTCACTGAAAACGATTGGTCTGAAAGGCAAACCCCAAAATGGTGGAAACGTGGTGCAGTTCTTCGACCGAATGGGATGTGATTTTTCACAATCAGGGGTGATTTAGCTTTGATTTAAAGATACCGTGCGTGACTACCGTGCAGGGGCCCTTTCAAGGTCCAACATGTCATTTCAGTTTTGGTAATGTATTAACCGATAACTGGATGGTTTACTTTTATAACTCTGGTTTGGATTGACCGATTTTCATCAAAATAGTAGTTTTGGAATGCTTGGATCATGATATAAAATTGTGGACAATAATATTACATATATGCTCATCGTGAAAATGTTTTGGCAAGGTGAAAGGTCAATTTTAATATAAAGTGCGTTTGATCAGAGAAACATGAGTTGAATAAATTACAAATTAAAGGCAAGTTTACTGAAATTATGGTGTTTTCTAATTCAGCTATATCAAACCTCCAGTATCCGTGACAAACAAACGCTAAAACAAATCTCCAGGAAAAAACTGGGAGCTTATGTTACAAACAAAAAATAGGTCCACTTCACTCGCTCTGTGCGACCAGTCCTTGTTGTACCCATTAATGCCGAGCGCCAGACAGGGACCAACAAGTACCATATTTTAACGTCTTTTGGTATGACGCGGTCGGGGATCGAATCCGCCACCTTCCGCTCTCCAGGCGGACGCTCGAACCACTACACCACGGAGGCGGTCTAATCTCCTAGTAATATTCGTAGTTTGGAAAATACATATAAACGTCTGGGCAACCAGAAGACTTCATTCATTTAAAACGCGTTCTGCTGATCACTCCTGGTGGCTTCATAATATCTGTTGGAACAATGTAGTTGACTACAGACGACTTGGTAGCGTAGGTCTGGGTGAGGTCTGTCGATATATTTTAGGACAGACGTTGTTTCAGTTCATGAACTGACGAAGATATTGATTCAACCTGAGCCAATTCCATGATGTGCAAGCCATTGTCAATTCATTAACCTACTGCTTGAAGGACAACGTAGTCATGGGACATACTGAAATCGGGAAATGAACGACAGTTGGTTAGGCTAGGTCATCCAGTACTGTCAATATTTTAGAATTGACGTCGTATTGTTGACGTTCATCAGCCGAAAAAAATAGATAGAGAGTCACGTGTGCCATTTCCATTATGCAGTAACCTTTGTCAATTCATTAACCCTCTGCTTGAAGGACAACGTAGTCATGCGACGTACTGAAATCGGGAAATGTACTTTTAGTATCCATCTAAGCGAGGTCATCCAGTACTGTCAATATGTATATACGATTTGCAAAATCTAATTCTAAAGCATTTAACTCGTCTGCCAACGTCTATACCAACTTCTGTGGTTGTATTGAATAGCTAATAGTGATTAAATGTAGCTTGACAATTCCCTCTCTGATGTACGACTTATACAGGGACCAGTTGATATTGGCGACACAAATTGTGTTGTCTATTATAGCATGACCTACAATCCATATCATGAGACTGACTATGCATATATCCATTAACCATTCTCAGAGGTTCACAAACATGTTGGATCCGTAAAACAAAATTGGGTCAAAATTGATCTTCAACAACCCATGTTGTCATAATGTGATCGGGTGGTCGTTCTCACTTACTTGTTTAATGCATGCCATCGTATCCCACTTGTGAAGATCGATGTTCATAGTGCCATGCCCATGTTATATGTAAGTCTTTTGTGTATATCACTAGATATTACTAAAACTCAGGCCTGCATATTGTTGTGAACGTTATGGTAGAAGCAAAATGTTCACATAAATATTATCTAGGAATATCTTGGGTTGTCCATAAAACAAGGCACTTTAAATGTTTTGTATTAAAAGCAATACGTTTCTGTCGTAATAGATCTTCATCAAATATTCCTCTGTGATGAAGTTGCAAATAAGTATTGACTAAATCGTCCCTGTTGATCTTCTTCAGCTTCATACCAGTGCATGTAAAAGTCAATGTACAGGAAGGTGTAGCTGTAAGAGGTTGAACCTTTTGTGAATGAATGAATGACAATATATTTGTATAGGGCCTAATATCCAGGTTATGTCCTGCTCTTGTGTACTTTAGCATGTGGATGTGGACCGGAAACATGTTTCCGTGATCTTGACATTATTGACATTCACTACCATGTCAACTATGACGATCAAGAACAATAGATACGAATTGATATGAAGGAAATGTTGCTTGCATTATGATGGCATGACTGACTCATCATTCTTTAATGAGCAAAGAAAGACCTCTTTAATAATAGAATTATACATTTAAGAGCTTTGTGTGTTGTTAAGGATTGCCCCACAGTATCTTCGACATATTTGGTGTCGTTGATACTATATAATTCACAGTGCTGTTACTGTTGAACAGACGTTATGTAATATATTTTGCTGATCTAAAATACTTTTTTCCTTGTAATGGTGTTTCATGCGTACAGTATCAACCTGGCCAAAGGTACATATGATCTTCAAATGATATAGCTGAATTAGAAAAAAAACACACATAATAACATAATTTTTGTAATATTACTTTAAATGTGTATTTTAAACTCATAGTTTTCTCATCAAATGCACTTTATATTAAAATTGACCTTGCCAAAATATTTTTACGATGAGCATATATATGTATTATAGTCCACAAATTTAAATCATGATCTGAGCATTCCAAAACTACTATTTTGATAAAAATCGGTCAATCCAAACCAGAGTTATAAAATTAAACCATCCAGTTATCGGTTAATACATTACCACAACTGAAATGACATGTTCACCTTAAAAGGGCCCCTGCACGGTAGTCCCGAACGGTAGCTGATAACAACCGGCTTTGAATCAAAGCTAAATCATATCTAATTGTGAAAAATCCCATCCCATTCGGTCGACAGAACTGTACCACGTTTTCACCATTTTGGGCTTGGCTTCCAGACCAGATGTATTCAATCTATTTGTTTGATTTTAATTGGTCAGGATTCGGCGAAACAGATTTGTAATTTTCATATGAACCCAATTTGGGCAGAAATGTAACAGTTTTATCGTGGGAGGGTAACATGAGTTGCTGAAATGAAAACGTGAATCTCAAACCAAAGGCGTGAGAGTTGGCAGGAATGTAAAACCCACGTCAACGGTTTGTTCTCTGATATGTAGAGCCTGTCACAAGACGTGTTCTAATGAGTTTACGACAGTATCCATATAAAGTAGCTTACACCTTTATCCATCTCAGTGTTACTGTAAGAACTGAGACAACTGGTTGTCATCGGATCCACTTGGGCATTCGATTTGTTTCCATGGAATTAGAAACATACATAAAAGATGAAAACATGACGGTCAGCAGTTGACTATTTGACTGTGGTACCATGTGATAAGTGAGGTGTTTCATTTGGGGACTAAAGGACAACGTTACAGCATATCTTGATATAAACAGTGGTGTATATAGGATATGTTTATCACAATAATAGTGAGATGTTTGTAACCAAAAATATGGTTCAGTAAGCAAACCAAACACATTATAGTCAATTCAATTCAATCTAGATTTCGTACTGAAGAGGCCACAGGCCTAACGTACATATTCATATATAATGGGGAATTACATAACTAAATATATTTACATTACAGTGATAACACATTTGTTCTATACAACATTGCAATGTGAATGAACATGGCAAGATTTTGTAATATATTTTGATTTTTACTGCTTATAAGGGTAGAGAATTTTATGATGCTTGGATGGATACAGTAATATCTTTTAATGTATTTACAACGTATTGAATTATATGATGGGCAGATGAGGAGAAAGTGATATTCATCTTCAATTTCATTTAAACGACAAAGTGATCGCCTAAATTTCTTAATATTAACACATGATAACTATACTTCATTGAATAGATCTTTTTTAAATTTTGAATAGTAAAAACATTTACTTGACAAAGATATTTTCTCACACCATGTTTGAAGATATATGTCTTTAAGTCTTATGGTTAACGACTGAATGAATGACGTATGTGATTCTACATATTGTGCATTCCAAACGTTTCCGAAACCAATAGAGAATAAGAAGTTCTTAACATGAGATGTCCAATTTCTTTGTCCATTTTCTCATACAATAACATCATATTATAACATTTCTTCGGTAACCGATATGAAGAGATTATAGTCATCTGACCTGCAACGTCTGTCTCAACCCTTTAATTAACTTTAATTTAATTAACTATGGTTTCAAACTGACATAAGCAACGGTCTAAACCCTCGTTTGGTACACGAGCAGCTTCGTGAGAAGACACGACATTTAGCCAGTTTAGCGAGCAGTAAAAGACATGCTCTGAAATGCTCTGAAATAGTTCTCAGTAAAATAAGAGGGACTCACTTCCTGATAACAAACAATAAATAATGAAACATTATCACAATATAGACATGCTCTGGAATATTAGTCCGTAACAATTTTACATCAAAGGTGAATTGATTTTGTTCATTGCGTGTACTAATTCTTTTACTCAATTAAGAAATATATCTGGTACATACTGTTACTGATAGAAACAAGAAGAGATGTATGATACAAACTCCAGCTATTGAATAAACAAAACTGTTTGGACCAAAACGGTCCATAAGCAGGCCGCTGATCAAGGGCTGAAACTGTACACCTGCATTTGCACCTAAGGACAGCAGAGAAATATTCTTAGATGACAGACTTACGTACTCTCTCGTCCATGTAAATAAGCTGCTAAAGTGGGGACCTGTAGCAAGGCCCAGGAAGATCATGCTGATCCAAAGACAAACTGTGCCATAGTACAACGACAGGAACAACACCACAATGCCTGCTGTCATTCCTACAAAGGCAACTGCAATAATTGGAAACGTCCGTATCCTATCATTGATGAAGTATGGGATAATCCTTCCTATGCTGTAACACAGCCAGAATACAGAGGTCATAGTTGAGGTTGTGTTGAGATTGAGTTTGAGATCACTCTTCGTTCCGAATGTAGCCAGCAGGTTGCTGACACAGCCAGGTATGGCAATAGTCACCACACTAAGGAAACACATCAGGATGATGAACATATTCTGGGCACGGCTTAGTGAGATGTCTGTACTTTTGTCTATGGATGTGTATGGGTTGGTACAGGGATTCTGATTGTCGTTTCCTCGTCTGTGACATATGATAAGTCCAACAGTCACTGGTATGGTAATGCATCCAAAAAATATGAATGGATAGTCAAGATATGTTTTAAAGTTGTCACACGAAGACGAATGGTTAGCTTCCTTCCTAAACAAATTAACACTACCAAGTATTGCACCTGATTGGGATTCTTTGAGAGAATCATTTAAAGTCGTGTTCTTGAAAACGACCTGGTCCCACTTTGTCTTACCAGTCAGCATTGCCAGTGAACTGTCAGGAGATTCCGTTATCTCAAGCCTATAAAGTGTTGCGTTCTTGTCACTGAAGTGTTCATTGTTAGATGTGCCTTGCATCATGGCAGTAAATGTTCCATCACTTAGGAAGGGCTTTTCCAGGAGCGGACTTAATGTTGCCCCGATGGCAACTCCACTCTGAACCAGGTGGATTGTCCCTGCTCTTGTGGGCCAGAGGAGATTTGTCGTATACAGAGACCCTGTTGAGAAAAGTGTAATAATTATGTGTCACTTATGATTCGCATTTTCTTTATCATTTATCATGCATTATGTCATTCAATATGTGCGCTCATTCATTTGCAGAAGACCCGTGAAGATCCGTGTTAGAACATGCCTTCAGTAAGCCATGCTTGTCGTAAGAGGCGACTAACGGGATCAGGTGGTCAGGCTCTCTGACTTGGTTGATACATGTCATCGTATCCAAATTACGTACATCGATGCTCATGATGTTGATCACTGGATTGTCTGGTCCAGACTTGATTATTAAACGATCGCCGCGATGTATCTGGAATATTGCTGAGTGCGGCGTTGAACAACAAACCAACAACATTTGCAGAGACACAGCTGTAGATGGTCGACGTCAACGTCACCATGATCTTGTTAAACATACAAAAACTCACCGACAGCTGAGAGACCAAGGCTCGCGCCATATATGAAGACAACAGGTCCTGCGAGAGCTAGACCTCCAGTATAGGGAAACAGGAACATGGTCACACCACGTATGATTGTGACAATCGCAAGGAAAATAAAAGCCGGAAGTTTGTCCATCACCACACTGGATACGACCACGCCCACTATTGTCCCCACGGCGATGAACAGGAACACGAGGGATGTGGTGTGAAGGTCAACGTTCCACAAGCACTGCAGGTCTGGTAGGACAGGTCCGATACTAGCCAGAGATAAACCCTGCAGAGTAAGTCAGTAAGAGGGTACAATAAGTACACATGGAAAATAAGGAATGTTAAAATATCTTCGGGAAATATACTGTTGACTGTATAGAAATGAAATATACTGTTTAGACAGTGAAAATTCATTGCAAGAAATTTAATTCACCTTGAGAAATATTACCAACCAAAAGTCTGCTGGTAGAGATGGTGTGTTAAATGAGCACCTGAAACATGGGTGTGCTGAACGTTTACCATATCTAACCATAGCTCGAAAGACTCTTGCACAGCAATCTTAGAAAGCCACGTATCTACTCTTAAACTTCAAAAACAAGTTCAAACTGAAAACTAAAGATGCCCTTTTTTATTCGATAGGATGGTTGTTTCAGAACTTAACTATGCTTCTGAAATCTCGGGCTATGAAGAATCTTACTGTGCCGAGAACATTTATTTGAAATTTTGCAAAAGGATCTTATCAGTCAAATCAAGTTCAAATGATGCATTTATCTATGGTGAACTTGGGAGATTTCCTCTATTTGTTGGTCAGATGTGTAGAATGCTGAACCTCTGGTATATGTCCACCAGTAGGTATCCAAAGGCATGCTATTCCATACTTTATGGTCTGGATGGAGCAGGAAGAACATCCTGAGCTTCATCAATCAGATGTTTGCTCTTTTCATATGGTTCTGGCAGTGTGTTGGAAAATCAAGGAGTCGAAGATTATTATCTTTATTGCTAATTCTGTTCAAACAGACAGTAATTGACTGTTGGAAACAAAACTGCTCTGCAAACATAAACGAAAGTATTAGGTTTTCACTACATTCCAAATATAAATCTTCTGTTGAAATGGAATCATATTTCAGTGTGGTACAAATCACGAGATACAGAACTGAGCTTACAAGATTCAGATTCAAAGATGAGCAGGAATCAATAGAGAAAAGAGAGTGTGCAAATTCTGATTGTCTGTACTTAACAGAAGCCAAATTGAGGATGAGATCCACTTTCGTAGTATTTGCTCACAATATCTTGATCTGAGAGCTCAACTATTGAACATTCAGCAATATCTTTCCAAATCAAGAGAAGTTTATATATATATAATGAAATCTGAAAATCAGTCATCATTAGCAGAATTTATTTTCAAGGCCTCAGCTGTGAAGCGGAAGTTAATCAGCACCTGATGGACCGGAGATAACCCAATCCGGCAGGGCTCCAGATAAGGGCCGTATCGGCGTATGTACGTAAAAATTTGCGTAGGAAATAATTAATACAGCGTAGCAGATACGCACAACGGCAATGGTGTACGGTCTTAGAATCATTTACAGACGTATTTATCTGAAAAAAAGTATTGTTTTATTGTTTATTGACCTGTTTACACAAGACTAGCAATGTTGTGGTGCATATATGAAACGAAACACAAGATTACTGATACTCTATTAAATTCCATTCAGTACTCTAAATGTAGCCTTAAGGTTTCCAAGTACTCCTATATTGAAAAAATAAGGACTACGTATCTGGAGCCCTGCAATCCCACTCCACATTGTTCACTGTTCATCATTGTTTGATGATCTGTCACTTTATATGTAAAAATGTATCATGCTGTCTATATTATGGAATCTTGTGTAATATGTATCACATATTCTGTACAGTTTTTTCGACCAATATTGTATATTGTTTGTACCCCGGGCCTAATTATAAAGTCCCTAATACTGAATAAAAGAATTGAATTGAATAGAAATATACCTTATACTATCCACAGTGGTTGTGACGGATATTGCATAAGGATGTATCTTTGTTTCTTGTTTAACGCCACACTCAGCAATATTCCAGCGATATGGCAGCAGTCTGTAAATAATCAAGTCTGGACCAGACAATCCGGTTATCAACAGCATGAGTAGCCACCTACGAAATTGGGATACGATGACTGGTAGTATCTCTCCTCAGTGGATGACTCGGACATTGTGAGATTTTTATAGTTTTTTGGGTTTTTTGTTGTTGTTGATACTCATATCAACGGTCCTGAACCTGGTGAGTTGTGATCAATGTAAATCCATTATATGTCAGTTTCAAGAGTTTATGCCATCTACGTTCACTGTAGAAAAAAAATGCAGATAGAAATGTAGAATGGGCGTAGTTCGATGAAGTAGGATTAGGTTACCCCCCCATGGTCATCTCTCTATCGCTGCTTTGCAAAGGCTGATCCAGGGGGGGTGCAGGGGTGCGCACTCCCACACCCCACACCCCTTTTGTTCTGAAAGTTTATAAAAGAACCATTAAATCTCTCGTGAAAATGGGTGAAAATAAAGTGTGCACCTCAGCCCCCCCCCTTTTTCAAGAGTGTGCACCACCCCCACCCACCCCCTTTCCCAAAAAGCTGTATGCGTCTTTGCATTTATATATGTGTCTTTAATTTAAGAGTTTTATTCAAATGAAATGTACTTCCTGTTATTGAGTTAGTGGGAATGGTTTTATGCCTCTCTTAGCAATATTCCAGCAATATCACGGCGGGGGACAGCAGAAGTTGGCTTCACACATTGCACAAATGTGGGGAACCGAGCCCGGGTCTTTGGCGTGACGAACGAACGCTTTACCTACAAGGATACCCCACCGCCCCCCTTGTCTTTGAAGTTGGGAGAACTTTTTATGATATTTTTATGGATAAATAAGTTTATTCTTTTTTCACGACGTTCACTCCACCTTGTATTGTGTATACATATAGCGAACATAGGTGGATGGTTGAAGAGCAAGAGCTCTGAAGCGTCCAGACAAACAATCGCAGAAATGGCTATCCATGAATAGTGCCAAGTATTCACTTTTTGTTGATGTTCGATATTCTGAATTGATAACAGCAGCAGGTTGCAATCAATTGCGCTGTTTCCTTGCGCTTCTTGGTGCCAACAGACCTGTGGTTGTGAAAAGCACTGTTAATGGATTCATAATATGAACAGTGGTTTCGACACGCAATGAAATTACGTATACTATATATTTACAGTGGGTACTGCATTTCGACGCAAGCTCGGAACAGCGGACACACAGAACAGTGTTAAACACGTACTTACCACTCCGAGTGTGAAGGAGAACAGGACCAACATTTCTAAATATTTCCTGTCTTCCATTTTATTCCTGTACTCTTGTTTCTGAAAAAAAATAAAATAAAATATCTAGTGACAACTTTAAGCTGGAACATGTTTGAGTCTAAAGATCGGAAGTATCGATGCCCCAACAAAATGACCTATGTTAATCAATGGTCGGTGTAATGTTCACATTATGTGATGCAATTTCCATGTAGGTGGTTAGATATTTAGATTGTGTCCATTTAACGCAAATACCAGACAACAAATACACAGAGAAATAGGTTTTTTAATCCGCGAATTGACAACTTCTATATCATGCCAAGTCCATATAAGGCATAAACAAGATAGATAGATCGGACGGAAGTGTGGGAGGGTGAGATAGGAAATACTAGTATACAAACTTCTAAATGGGTTCAGAAAACGTAAAGGCACCCAATGACTAGGTAAGTACAATGAATGCCTAGGTAAGTACTACGAATGCCTACGTAAGGTACAATGAATGCCTAGGTAAGGTACAACAAATGCCTAGGTAAGTACACTGAATGCCAAGGTAAGTACAACAAATGCCTAGGTAAGTACAATGAATGCCTAGGTAAGGTGCAATGAATGCCTAAGTAAGGTACAATGAAAGCCTAGGTAAGTACAATGAATGCCTAGGTAAGGTGCAATGAATGCCTAGGTAAGGTACAATGAATGCGTAGGTAAGTACAATGAATGCCTAGGTAAGGTACAATGAATGCCTAGGTAAGTAAGAGGAATGCCTAGGTAAGGTACAATGAATGCCTAGGTAAGTACAACGGATGCCTAGGTAAGTACAATGAATGCCTAGGTAAGGTACAACAAATGCCTAGGTAAGGTGCAACGAATGCCTAGGTAAGTACAATGAATGCCTAGGTAAGTACAATGAATGCCTAGGTAAGGTACAATGAATGCCTAGGTAAGTACAATGAATGCCTAGGTAAGTACAATGAATGCCTAGGTAAGGTACAATGAATGCCTAGGTAAGTACAATGAATGCCTAGGTAAGGTACAATGAATGCCTAGATAAGTACAATGAATGCCTTGGTAAGTACAACGAATGCCTAGGTAAGTACAACAAATGCCTAGGTTAGTACAATGAATGCCTAGGTAAGTACAATGAATGCCTAGGTAAGGTACACTGAATGCCTAGGTAAGGTACAATGAAAGACTAGGTAAGGACAATGAATGCCTAGGTAAGGTACAATGAATGCCTAGGTAAGGTACAATGAATGCCTTGGTAAGGTACAATGAATGCCTAGGTAAGTACAACGAATGCCTAGGTAAGTACAATGAATGCCTAGGTAAGGTACAATGAATGCCTAGGTAAGGTACAATGAATGCCTAGGTAAGTACAATGAATGCCTAGGTAAGTACAATGAATGCCTAGGTAAGTACAATGAATGCCTAGGTAAGGTACAACAAATGCCTAGGTAAGGTACAATGAATGCCTAGGTAAGTACAATGAATGCCTAGGTAAGTACAATGAATGCCTAGGTAAGTACAATGAATGCCTAGGTAAGTTCAACGAATGCCTAGGTAAGGTATAATGAATGCCTAGGTAAGGTACAATGAATGCCTAGGTAAGTACAATGGCATTAGAGATGGTATTGCGCTTCCTTAAGACTAAAGGGAGATGAATGTTCTGAACAAAAGTAACATATTTACTATTCTAAAAGTTTAGATGGAAAGCAGTCATCTCAAAATAATACTGCCATCGTTGATTGACATCAATATACAAAAGAAAAATAATTCTGCTCTCATCCTTTGACATTTAAGAGAGCCCACCGTACTAGATGCAAACTCAAATATTACCTCCATTTGATGACTTTCAGAGGCATTTGTATTCTATTCTAATGGCCACCGTTGTAAAATGAGCAAACATGTATCTGACATTAATGGAAGGACAAGGTATGATAAGGGTGGATTTTGGCCCACAAACAGAATTGTTTGTTTAGAGACAAGATAGCTTTGCATAAAAAGCTATTTTTAATGATCTGAGGCCATAAGTTCAATGAAGGGGGGCCCAAAATGGGTTTTATCAGTTCCCATGAAAAATAACAAGAAGTCTGAAATATCAGTGTGCCATAATGACTTATATACAACTATCAGTTTATTTACATACAAATAGTATCAGTTTTGCAACAGGTATTCATGATGAAGAAACATGTCAACATCAATCACAAGGTTTTAACTTCAAGGGGCCCAATTAGGATTGCAATACATTGTGGACAGAAATTTAATTACTTGCCAATTGATTACAAAAAAGCTCATTATTCACAATTTTCTTTGCAAATATAAACTGTAGGTCAATTTTACAACATGTACTTATGATAACCAATCATGTCCCACTAAAAGTCACAGGTCTTCACCTCAAAGGGGCCTATTTCAGGTGAAATTACATTCACAGCTTGATTTAACACCATGTGTGTGTTAAAAGCCAGTATTTACAACAGTCTTGCAAATATACAGTAAACATCTCATTCACAACATGTTGTTACAATAACCAATCATGTTGCACTAAAAATCAGGTCTTGACCTCAAAGGGGGCCCATTTCGGGTGAAATTACATTCTTGGCACAGCTTGATTTTGACACCAAGTAAGTGTTAAAAGTCAGTATTCAAAAATCTTCAAAAAGTACTTAGTCACGATTCATATTGCACTTCCTCAATGGGCGTGGGTATGTCTGGCGACGTCGAAATGAACGTTAGTCATGATTCATATTGCACTTCCTCAATGGGTGTGGGTATGTCTGGCGACGTCGAAATGAACGTTAGTCACGATTCATATTGCACTTCGTCAATGGGCGTGGGTGTGTCTGACGACGTCGAAATGAACGTTAGTCATGATTCATATTGCACTTCCTCAATGGGCGTGGGTATGTCTGGCGACGTTGAAATGGACGTTAATCACGATTCATATTGCACTTCCTCTATGGGAGTGGGTGTGTCTGACGACGTCGAAATGAACGTTCGGCACGATTCACATTGCGTGGGTATGTCTTACGACGTCGACATGAAAGTCATGCCTGTCAACCGAAAACCTCTTGACCGATTTGGCAGTGGATCAGATTTATTATATTCTATAGGAACTGGGACAGAAACCGTTTCCGACTTTAAGAACTTTCAGCATGGAAGTTGAGATAATACTCTGGGATTTAAATTGTGGACACACCTATATGTCAGTTTATTCCCACGTACATCATTTCATTACGAAGATAAATATTTTTTACATAAAACATGTTCCCGATGCATGACACTTTTATGTGTGATTACAAATAACATTTATAATCTCCAAAATTGATTTTTAAGCAACACGGTCACTCTTCAGAAATTCGCAGTTGAGTAAAAAATTCAAATCCAACGATTAAATTCTACTCAAACGTTCTCAATAAGACTTGAGGTACATGAACTGTTTAAAATACATTCCAAATATTTATCATATATGGACATCTAGCTTGTCATGTATTAGATATTTTCAACATTCTACTTTCACTGGTGTATAAAATCATATAATTCATAATTTGCCGTGGAGAAGTATTAACGTGACACATTATTGATTATATAAATATGCATACCAATTCGGAATATATATTTTTGTTATAAGAACCATAGTGTAAATAATGTATTATCAAAGTAATGCAACAAAGTTGATTGAAGCTTTAGACGTGTTAATATAGGTTGAACCGTATTAGCTGCCGTGCGTTAAAAATAGTTCAGGAGTGTCTCCATTCTACCTAGACAAATTAGAACTGAATACAGTATTCGCAGATTATTGTAAATTTCGGAATCCGACACATGATCTTGTGATTATAAGCGACATCTATATCATTACGAGTCCATCAGTTCGCTATACATAATTCAATGTATCAAAGTTTTCATCACTTATCAATCAGTATTGTTATACTCCAGTTGAGGAATAACAATTCTGCACGTTCATTCCATAGGAGTATGTATCACCTTTAAATTAGTTCAGTTTTTGTTAATTAAATAATCGTATGTACTGAGCGTTGATATTGCGTATGAATTGCGACCTAAATCATTTTGAATTACAGGAAACGAAATACGAAATGCTGTATGAAATGAAATTATGATTGCTTCATGTGATGTATAATTGTTTCTGACATAATTGTTTTCCAAAGTTTGATGATGTTCAGTTATTTATCAGAATATTTATTACGTAATTAAAAGTAATTGTTAACAGATTGCATTAGCCCTGTTTGTTTTCCGGAACTAACACAACATTTACGTACAGTTTAATATACATTTACGATCATGCCGGGAAAAAAACATACTCTGCAAAACAGGAAACGTGTTTTTGAGAATTATGCTTTATGCATAATATAGATATTCAACATGCATCATATAGACATTCAGCATATTATATTATTGATCAAATGTGGCACAAGCATTATCACCAACCAAGGTTTATCATGGCACAAATGAAGGTATTCTTATTTGTATGGCCACCATGAGAGTCCAGAACTGCCTAGCAACGTCGCCCCATGGAACCAGTCAGGTTACGAACAGAAGCCGGAGGAATGGTGGCCCTCTGCTCCTGCAGTGCTTGTGTTAGAGGTTCTGTGGCTGATGCTGGCGTAATCCTGTAACTGTTCAATGGAGTTCACGTCTTGAGACCTTCAGTGACTGAGTGAGTTTAGTTTTACGCCGCACTCACAATATCCAAGCCATATGTCGGCGGTCTGTAAATAATCGGGTCTGGACCAGACAATCCAGTGATCAACAGTATGAGCATCGTTCTACGCAACTGGGATACGATGACATGTGCCAACCAATTCAGCGAGCCTGACCACCCGATCCCGTTAGTCGCCTCTTACGACAAGCATGGCTTATTGAAAATCAATTCTAACCCGCATCTTCACGTGTATGGAGACCTTGAGGGTCACGGCAGAAGAATTTCTTCGTGCAGCCATGTGCTGTTAAGTTGACTTGGACGAGTTCCAATTAAGTCTGTTCTACCGACATGGGAAATGACGGCCCACACCATTGCATGTCCACTTCCTGTATGCAGTGTCGAGTATAAC